AGTTTTATATATAGAACCAGTCAGTCACTGGCTTTGTAATCAACGAAAACAATGCTGTGTCATTTCCTCGTGTGTTTTAATATTCTACGTATTATTAATGAATTGTATTGCTCATTTTGCACACATAAACATTAATTCAATAAAAAAGACATTCAGTAATAAACAATAATGAATCTTTTGTACATAAGAGAAATGACGCTGTTTACACGATTATGCACGTCGTCTGCACGTTGGCGGGCCGTTCAAACCCGTCGAAATTCAAGTTTCCGCCGTCAAATTTTTTTTTTTTTTTTTTGTGTTCCAATAAAATACATTAAGAATTAAAAACTCGCGAAATTTGAGAAGCTACTATACGACATTTAACCCTTCAATATGTCTTCAAAGAGACCATGATGCAGAGAAAGTGGTGCTAGTGCTTCCAAGCATAAGCACAAGTCACTATCTATCCAGGAAAAGGGTGAATTTCCATGGTCCGGCAATTTCCATGGTCCGGCACCGGTCAGGTCCCGAGGTTGCCGGGCTAGAGAGATACAACCTGTACTTTCAATTTATTATACCTATTGCTTATTGACAGTTTTTAGATATGTAAATAATTTTTGTAGCATGTTTTGATACAACAATTTGCACTGGTGCTTCCATACATCTAAAATTCGTATACTTCATCGGCCCACGCAATTCGAATTTTCGAGGTTGCACTGTAGCAATAAAAACAATGATAACAAACAATATTAGCATCAATGCTAATACAATGAGAGTAAACTGAAAAGTACAAATATTAGTATTAATTATGATTAAAAAAATTACATACCAGTACTGTAATACAAACAATGATGCTTAATAATAAAAATAATGGGAACCACCAAAACCCCGAGTCTTGGAACAATTATCACACCACTTGCTGTACTGAGGAGCAGGCGGTTACCACTCTCTTCCCAAACAACACAGGCACAGTACTGACACTCGTAACACACTGTACTGTACTTGAAGCATTACAGGAATAAAATATAATAAATAAATAAACATACACACACAATAACCACAATCAATTAATAAATAACAATTCAATAATTTCCTAAATTACAAATTATTTGAGTCAACTACTTCAACTTTGAGATAACTGCTTAATTATGTCATCCTATAAACAAAAATTGGAGATAATGTCCATATAATTCTGTATGAAATGTTTTTGGTGTTTCTCTTACTTTTAACAGTATTAAGCTTACCTCCATGAGTTAAGAGGTTGGCTATCATGAAGAGATATTGTACAAGGGTCTGTTTTTACTAACAACAAGGTTTTTTAATGTAATTTATTATTTATTACTCCTAGTGGGATATATTCAGGAATTAATGTTTCACTATAATGGTGCAAATAACCTTAGCTGTTGAAGCACCTGCAACAAACAAAAACAACAACAACAACAACAAACCGTCTCAGTGTTATCTGTTAATGACAGTCATACCACTCAGCAACTGTCAGCTTGCAAAAGGCACTAAAATCTAACAATTATGGCACAAAAAATATAAAATTTAAATTATTTATTTTACAGTTAACAATGTAATTTGTTTGTTTGCTTGTTAATGTGTGCACTAACTTGCAATAAACTACACATCATTAAACACCTTTTGTATCTTCATGTATTTGGTGCACACTGTTATTGTTGAAGTTATTCATACTGTTGTTTCAAACTTTATATCTAATGTAACTTTCTTTGACCATCTCTTTATGATTACCTTCTTACTCAGTTACCATTTTATTCCTGCATTAAAACATGGACTATGCATTTATGAGGAAAGCACTTTACTATTTAAGTATATAATTATGACAAAATAAAATCTATAAAAAAAAAATCTCTTATATGGGATCATGAGCCAGCTTGCTAATAAAATAGAGAGGAGCCATCCATATGTGGTAGTGAAGGTGAGGTAACTATTATCAAGGTGATAATGAAAGGTAGTAAAGAAGAAATGAATTAACCCTTTAGAGGGCAAAGTATCCCTTAGGTATTTTATTCTGGCTAATGCCGGACGATTTTATTCAGCTGAGGAGAGCCCCTGCCGCTGAAGGGCTAAAAAAAAGCAAAAAAGACATTAAAGCTTTAGATATGGAGTAAGTAAATAACATGTAAGCTGAGGGTGTAAGGTGATCAAAATAAGTGCTAGTGTTGTCATTAAATGTATTAAAAGGTAAAAGGATATGAATCAGAGTAGAAAAACAAAGGTCCAGACGGAGCGAAGGAAATGATGAGCTGAAAGGATTTATAGCCAGAAGTACTTTGCAAGGAAAACCTTTCTCATGTAAAAAATAAAGAACAAAAGTGTGCGTGCAGCACCTATGGATCTAAATCCATCTCCTAGAACCTAATTCTAGTAATACTATGACTGACACAATTTTTTCAATTCACTTGTGCGGTCTATTCCCTTTGCCATATATCATAGTCATTATCTCCTGCCAAGGAAGATACCACTCTTCAGGAATTGGCTACAGTAAACATAGGAGTTGATAGAGATGATATTACTTCCCAACTCTTCAAGATCTTCCGGCCTGGCCATGCTAAAAGACGGCAGCAAAGACACGACCAGAGATTTATCATTAATTGAGTGAAATTTGGAGACTTCCCTCAAAATCTTTTTTTTTTAATTCATTTAAATTAAATTATCAAGCCTCTGTGAAACAATATGGTGTAAGTAAGTACACATAATCAATCATTCTTATTATAAGTTAAAACCTAAACAAATAAAAATAAGATAAAACATTCATGGCAGTACGCATGCCTCAACAAGGTCTAATACACAACAATAAATATGTGCATTTATAAATACAGATTCTATATATACTATAGGGAGGTCAACTGAACCCTGAGCCTTCTTATATTAGCCACCCTGTAATATTCTGCTGGCCTGGCCACTCATATGTGAATGCTGGTATTTAAACAGCCCAGGCATACCCAACCAAGGATTTTTATTTATATCACCTGTATGTCAATGACAAAATTTTCCCTAATGGTTAGGAACCTTCCTTCCATTGTTGCTGAAGAGATGGCATGGAGAGTATGTTGCCCTCTATCAGCTCTGGCTCAGCAGTTCAATATTTTCCCTTTTTTTTTAAATAACTTATAATATTTTAGAAATAAACTTTTAAAAATACTATACTAAGTTTTGACATGGATTTCAAAATATTCTCTCTACCCAGCCTGGCAAGTGATGAGTTTTAAGGGGGCCTAGCCACCTACACCTTAAGAGTTGATAACAAAAGATGAGGGAAGCTTATTTACCCCAAAATTATTGTGTATAATGAGATGGTGGAATACTAATTTGCTGCAGTTCTGAAATCTTATACTGTACAGTACAGTATTTACATATGTAGACAGGTGGTCTTTTATTACTTTATAGAGTTGTGACCCTGCCTTACCAGCTGGCATTATAAAGGGCAACCAGCAATAAAACTGCTTCAACATGCCTGATGGCAACCAGGTCACCGGAACCTTGCCCAACCCCTGGTCTCTGCTGCATTTTCTGGTCTAGCACCCAGGGTTTGCGGTGGTCAGCAGGGGAGGGGACATCCCGTTCTAGTTTTACCCAACAACTGTCATCGGGTAATCATGGCTAACCCACGAAAGCGTGGAAAATGACCGCAAAACATTGCTGATGATGATGATGAATAAAGTACAGTATATTAATGAAGCTATCAGTAAAGAAGCATAAGAATCTGCAGTCATGGAACATACAAGTGGAACTGGTTGGCCAAGTATCTTGTCAAGTTTAGATATTTGCACACCTGGGTGAGAGGAATGAATAAGATCAGGACATTAGAGACATAATGGACAAGGGAAACTATATGTGATATGTAAATACTAAGGGTAGAGGATTCGGTTCTTTAGAAATATTATAAGTGTAGATCAATGAATTTATGAAAATTTCTGTAAACACAAAATTATAAAAAAAAGCAATTTAAGAGGATTTTATATCCTGTGAGGAGCTGAGAGTAACAATACTATGCTAGAAAAGGAAGAGAACAAATATATAATATATCTGTAAACTTTGCACTAACATTCAAGTGTAGTACAGTATATAATGAAAGACAAGTTTCCAGGTAAGCTAAAGGCAATAGAGACTCTACTGTTTATGGCGGAAAGATCGACCCCGCCTTACGAATTTATGATTTAAGCAACCTCTATTTTCAGTGGTATCCTCCAGGGACTGAAGATATTACTATACAGTTTTGAGAATCATGACAATGAGGCACATTCTACGAACATCAATTTTGGCAAGATACACTCAAGGCTGGTTAAAACTCATCATCTGTGGAAGCTAAACAGTAACGCAGCACACACAGTATGCTTTGTATAAACTAATTTGTCACTTTTTGTTCCCTAAATGGGAATCTAACAGTTAATAGCTATTTCTTCAACACTAACATCACAAAACAAACTAAATATTACAAAAAATTACCATCACATACCATCTCTTTACCGCTCTGCTTACATGTATACAGTGCTTCAGTACTTGAGAATGGGGTGTCCTGTTTAACAATATGAATTATCACAATTACATAATACAGTACAAGTAATGTATTATGGGTTTATCATAAGTACAGTATTCAGAATCATGATATTTAAAGGTCTAAAGGCAATGATCCTGAAGTTATTCTTTAAATGAATGAATGATTGTACAGTGTGTAAGATGTGCAGAGTTGGCATTCTGGTTGACCTATTAAATCAAAATTTAACATTCAACTTTATTGTTGGAATCTAAAAAGCTTGTGACTAGATTACAGGTAGTCAGGAGTTTCTACAAGGCAATTAAATTTATGTTCTTTACTACAGCAAACAGAGGAAGGTAATCTTTTTTTTCCCAAATGTTGAATGGAATTCATGTTTAGAGCTTTTAAGTGTGATTTTATTTTTAGTCTTTTCCATTTATATATTATCCCATCATCAATTTTCATCATGAAGTTATATATTTTATTGCTTTTTCTCACTGACAGTATGTCTACTTAATAATTTAATTACATTAAAAATAAATATTCAATATGTAAAAATAATTCACTTATACAATACCTTGATAACAAATTTAATATATAGTATTACCATAATTCAATGCTGAATTGGTTAAATTTTCTGTCCATTTTTTCTAAGTACATTTGTCCAATTGCCATCTGAAGACAATTCTAATTACACTTCACAGTATTGAATTGTCTTTGAAGGAAGTTTGCTTTATCCTAACATTCAGTCTCTGTGATCGTGTCTTTGGGCCAAGCCTCTGATTCACTAAAGACCGGCACCTGAAGTGTTGACATAAATGGTTGCGGCTCTCGTGGGTATGAGGCAGAATCACTGGTCGTCTCATGCACAGCTGGGGTCTCAGGCCGCACTAATGGTGGTGTACGTGGACGGGGAGAAGACCATGGCGTCAGCCATCCTCCAGTTGCTGGCAAAGCACCAGAGGAAGCCCACTGAATGTGTAAATCATCATGTAAGGAAGACCGACGTGCGCTTGGGCTACCCGGTTGAGATGATGTTAGCCGAGTACCCCTGCCACATAATGGAGATGATGGATGAAGACTTGAGGCAATGGTCTGCAAGGAAGGTAACTGAACAGACTCAGGAACAGATAAAAGTTCTGAAGGGTTGTTATCAATGCTGGTTGTGCTGTGACGCTTCCGTAGACCTACTGCCCTTGAATCTCTCCGAAGGTTTAATGGAGTTGCCCCATCTTCAGCTTCAGATAATTCTGTTCTCACGGAACACAGATCTTCCAGGGAGACGGCTAAATTTTCTGAATCTCGATGCATTCTTCGCTGAATTAAGCCTTCCATCAGCTGATAATCAGCTTCTTCTGCATCACGCAAAGGATTAGAACTAATTGTAATAGAAATTCCAGCAGACTCTGAACGATGGCGTCGTCTCAATTGGGGAGCAACTCTTCCGGGATACTCTAAGTGAGGAGATGATGGAGGAGATAATCTGGACATGCACACAGTCTCTAACTCATCAGCTAAACTCGTGTATTCACTAAAAAAAGTACACATGGGAGGAGGTGACGTTGGGGGAATCACTTGGATTCTAGGCCGACAAGAAGAGGTAGATAGACTCCTTTCATACTTGGGTGGAGAATGGAGTGCAGCTGCCTCATCAGGAGATGGCATAGATCTTAAATATCTATTATGAATTTCCTCTTCTGTGCTTAACTTCATACCTCCAGTATCTCCTTCACCTGATTCAGAATCATCAGTAATATTTACATCCCTGAAACATACTTTAGATGGTGTGCTATCACCGCTGTGCTTTGTAGATTTACGAATGCTGCTCTTCCTTCCGCCGGAGAGTTTACGTTCTCGAGAAGCACGACCCAGAGAACTTCCGGATTCTGAGTCTAATCTTGGCTTTGACTGACAATTTTGAGCTTTTGATCTTCTAGCATTTACACTACTCATGGACTCTAATTCAAATCCATCTAATATATTTACTGGACTTGAAGTTTTTATGGGTTTTCCAAAATTTATGATAGTTGGTGAAATTCTGAGATCTTTGTGAGCTTCAAGTTGTGCATCAGCAGTATCACTCACTTCCATATTACTTCCTTCTGGTTCAATGGCAGAGCTCTGAGCCATTTGTTGTTCAGTTTCTTCCAACATACGATGAAGACTCGTCTGAGAGAGAGAGCGTGACGTGCCTCCTCCTTCAGAGTGTGGAGTACCAGAACCTGAACAAGGGGAACTTGATCTTTTATGTCCCACATGACTGAGCATAAAACGGTGAACCACAGCATAACTACTCTTTGTCTGCTCTACTGTCTCTTCTAACCGCTTTACATGGAAATCAAGGTTATTAACAGAACTCATCGCTGTAACGAACTTGCTGTGCATGTCCTCAATCCGCTGCATTAATCCTTCGGTTCGTTCTGCCATAACCCGTACACGCTCCTGCACCAGACAGAAAAAGAAGTTAATAACAAAACTATCCTGTCCTAAACAACATACAGTAATATTTCTCAGTTAGCCAGAATCCCTCAAACCTGGAACTCTCCAAAAGCGGAAATTGAAATTTGCTCAAAATTTTTCCGGAAAACTCTTTCAATTCTAGGTTTGGGAGCAAATTCCGAGGTTGAAAATAGGGTACATTTTCTGAAAATTTCAAGAAAAATTCTGGAAAATCTCAACACACTTTTATTTCTAGGTCTGGGAATAAATTTTCAGGGTATTCCGAAAGATTGCACCATGATTCAACCCAACACCATGTGCCAGGCGTGTGGGTGGCCCAGCTGCTTGGATTGCTTAGTTCATATTCTGCTGCCACTGTAGAAGGTTGTTCCCTCGCTATTTGCTGTTTTTGTCTACAATTTGTGTTGCGCAATGTTGTACATTACTGTACCAGAACAAAATTAGCCAAGAATACAGTGTTAAACCAGTATTAAGAATGTGAAAACTGATTACAGTTACTGTACATTCAGTAATGGGAAACACTGGAGCACCTTACCTTTCGTCCTTATTCAATACATCTTCAGGTCATAAGACCCACTCACCCCTACAATGGGTGACCTGACATTGCATCAGGTCAGGTCAGTAACATGACCCACTAATCTCCCACCCAACCTCTATCACAAGTGTTAAGACATGATTTCAGTTAAGTATTACAGTCAGCTGAGTGGACAGTGTCTGCTGGTGAGTACAGTTTATACTGTACAGTATAGTATATACAATATAGTAGTACAGTAGTGTACATTATTTTGTTTACAGTATGATCAATATTGTACGTGTACAGTGGTGTTTGCGTAAATAAATCCTGTATAGCTTCTGGAAATTTTCTTGTGAAGTGTGGAAAATACCAATCGTCTTTGCTGTAACACAGCTCCATTCACGCCCGTATCAAATAAATCTTTTGTTTTTTAAATACTGTATAATTATTCAACCAAACTTATAGTTAAATTATTTGGGTAAGAAAATGGCGTGTAACTTACTGTAATTAGAACTGATTTTATTGACTACGGTATCAACATTTCTTTTTTTTTGGTATACAGTAATACCCCGCTTAACACGGTTTCGCTTAGCGCGATTTCACGTATACGCGGTGCCTCGCCAGAGCTGTGGCCAGAGCTGAACTTTCACTTAACGCCGGTTTTTTCCACATATATGCGCAGAGTGTCCAGCTCGAGAGCTATTTTTAGATTCGCCCCACCCCCCACCCGCCACCCTGCCTGACTGCCTGCCTGCCTGTTTTAGCTCATAAAATTCATACAAATTACCCGGCCAGAATATAATTTACATTGCTGGAATTCTTACAATATGATGATCATTTTGAATATAAACATCATAGATTTTGCATTAGACATACAAATTTTAGATATAATGTTTACTCTGAGTAAATATGTTATCTTTCGTGCAAAATATATGACATTTGTATTCAAAATATTCCTGGTCTTACAAGGAATCCAGCAATGTCAATTATATTATCCTAACTTTAGTTTGAGGTATTATTTATTAAAATTTAGTGGTTTTCCCCCTAAAATTTCACGCACGCACGCACACACACGTGGTCTTATAAAATATTTTTTCAAATTACATATTTTCTAGTACCGACGTTAGTGATCGCGCTGTGTACTGACAAAATTTTCATTTGTAATTCCCTTTATAATGGCTGGCAAGCGTAAAAGTGAGAGTTCTCGTGGTGCCGAGAAGAAAAAGCGACACCCATTTTAGAATTTCTATCCATTACTTTCGCCTTTTCAACTTACGACCAATTTGACTTACGACCCGGTCGTCAGGATGGAACCCCGTCGTAAGTCAAGGAGAGACTGTACTTAGTTGACTGAGAGCTCAATTTAGCAGAAATTTTGATTTAACGAACAGGGGTGGCTTTAATTAGCTCGTTAAATTGAGAAAATACTGAAAACTGTATATACTGTACACACCAATAGATGCTGTTGTCTTGAGCCTAAAGTAGGAAGACACTGTTCACTCAGCTGAATGTAATACCTAACTGTAATCATGTCTTAACACCTGTGATGGAGGTTGGGTGGGGGAATATTGGGTCATGTTACTGACCTGACCTGATGCTATATCAGGTGACCCATTGTCAGGGTGGGGGATTAGTGGGTCTCATGATCTGAAGATAGCTTGATGAAAGCTATGGTGCTCCAGTGTTTCCCACTTACTGAATGTACAGTATATGTAACTGTATTAAATTTTTACATTCTTAATACTGCTTTAACACTGTATTCTTGGCTGATTTTGTTCTGGTACAATAATGTACAGCACTGTACAACACAAATTGTATGCAAAGAACAGCAGCTAGCGAGGGAACAACCTTCTACAATGGCAGCAGAATATGATCTAAGCGATCCAAGCAATTAGGCCACCCATTCACCAGGCAAGTGGGGATGCATTGGAGCATGATGCAATCTCCGACAACTCCCTGAAAATTTATTCCCAGGTTCAGAATGAAGAGATTTGGTTTAAGTTTCTGGAATTATTCTCAATATTGTTTCAGAAAATAGGCCCGATTTTCAACCACAGAATTCGTTCACAAATCTGGAATTGAGAGAAATTTTCCGGAAAATTTTCGAGCAAATTTCAATTCTGGCTATTTGAGAGTTCCAGCTAACAGATATTACTTAGTGATATAAAAAGAAATTTCTCTTCCAGTTACATCTGGAGCCTGAAATTCAACCATATTTCTATCTTGAGAAAAAATTTAGTCCACTAACACTGGACCACAAAAAGGGATACATTGCATTCGAGTTTCCAATCAGTTAAGGTCATAGTTCAATCATTATTTTTACTGCCATTTTTCATGTTTGTGTGGGTTAGCCATGGTTACCTGCTGGCAGCTCTTCATGCTGCACTGTCTCTTGCAGTTTCTCATCAGGTTCCTAACTCCTGTAATTTCTCACAACCTCTCCCTATGTCATTCTTGGCCTACCCCTGGCTCTCTTCCCTTCCACATTTACTGTAGACTCATGCACCTCCTGACCCAATTGGTTTCATCCATTCTCTCCACATGCCCAAACTATCTCAGACTGCCTCTATGCAAAACTTCGCCAACACTCTCAATATCCAGCTGTTCTTTTAGTTCTGTGTTTCAGTGTCACATTACACATCCACCTCATCATTCTCATTTCAGCTCGCTCAAGTCTACTTGTGTCATCCTCTTTAATTGCCATTGTTTCACTGCCATACAACATCACACTCCTCACACCAGTCACATCCATTCTTCCTTTCATTCAGAGGGGTCCGCTTGACATCAATAAAGGCAGCAGCTCTCTAAACTTCCTCCTTCCATTTTTGACTCTTGCAACTGAATAGGCTTCAGCACCCCCACCAGCACTGATCATGTCACCCAAGAAACAAAACTCATTAACACAGTCCAGGGTCATATCTACAATGTTGAGTTTCTCAAGCCTTGCTGTGGGCACATAATTACCTAGACATATAGAAAACTTAAAATCAACAACATCCCACAGTCTACCATCCACTCCACTGCACCTCTTGTGTACCCACCTTCCACACTTGTACATTACTGAGTTGCTACCAACACCTCTTTTGAAGAGCACATGGCCACTTTCCCCTATCCTCCAAGGGTCCCTCACCCACACTACTAATGTTTTTGCCACATTCACTCTCAGGCCCTTTGATTCTTTTCCATCCTTCCCTTTCATAAATTTCTCCACTGCCTCTTCGATCAGGACACAAAAACTCCCAGGGCAGGGCAGACGTAATCTTCAATGGTATTACCTCCAGCACTATGCATAGATTTTGCATTAGACATACAAATTTTAGATAAAATGTTTACTCTGAGTAAATATGTTATCTTTTGTGCAAAATATATGACATTTGTATTCAAAATATTCCTGGTCTTACAAGGAATCCAGCAATGTCAATTATATTATCCTAACTTTAGTTTGAGGTATTATTTATTACTATACCTGGTTTTCCCCCCAAAATTTCTCAGAGAGGGAAGAGCCAGCGAGTGTAGTGTGAGAAGTGGGGGAGGGAGTTGAGTCCATTATTTGAATGGACATTAACTTGGCGACTGTATTTTTCTATTTCTCTTAAGTATTAATTGTGTGCATGTACCATCATAAAATTAAGATGTTATTTTTACTAGAACATAGGTATTGTGTTGGAAAAAGTGGAGTTTGGGGGTCAGCTGGTCTCTATTTAATTTAATCCCATATGTTATGTTATTCACTTTACGCGGTACCCTGTGGGTTACATTAACTGCATAAAGTGAGGGTTGACTGTATATATATATACAGTGACCCCTCGTTTAACGAACACCTCGGTTAACGTAATTTCGATTAACGAACTGCCTTCCATAAGGATCTTCAATTCGTTTAACGAAAAAAATTTCGCTTAACGAACTTCTTACGAACCGACCTCAACATGTTTTCGCTTGCACTGACCGGGCAACCAGCTTTAGTATCAGTCCGCCAATACATTAATCGGTTCTAGGGCTTAAATTCCTTACTATTTTTGTAAATATCAAGAAGTTTATACTATTCAATAATTTTAAAAGTTTAATATTCAATTTTTTAGTCATTTTAACAATTATTGAACAAAATTGAAGGTAAAGTGACTAGTTTAATGCGCGGCATCCAGCCTCTTAACACAGCAAACAGGCGTCAGTCTCTCTCTGTTTTCACTGGAGGTAACATCTTGCTTGAGACTCTCTTCAACTAAACGCTTTTTTTCTGTGTTTCCAAGCAAATTATTGGTCATTTTGAAAATTATTTTACATATTGACAATATATAGTGCAGTGCAGTGTTACTTTAAAGAAAATATTCTTTATTTACAGCTAGTTTAACTTTGAAAAATACGTGTTGCCATTGTTTGAATCCAGCATGGGGCCTAAGAGATCAAGAAAAGTGATTTCAATCCAAATAAAGCAGGAAATAATAAAAAAACACGAACAAGGTATTAAATC